GGTGTGACATATTCTTCATATGAATAATGAAGACTGTGATTTGGGCACGCAATGAAGGATTGAGGCTGAGGATGCAGTCCTCATGGCAACGAAGAGCATGAGAAGAAGACTGGAAAGAAGCTTTTGCTCACTAAATCACTGAGCTAAAGCTTACCTTCCCCACCCCCCACCCCCCAGAAAAGAAAGAGTAATTTTTGTTTCCCAACACATATTATACCCCAAATATCTGCTCCCTGGTTTTTTGTAAGGAATATTCATTATTCCTCATCGCTTTCTAGATGGTCTCATATATTTCAGCCTGGCATCTATGTATCTGAATTATTGTCCTAGGTTCTACTTAAGTAGGAAGATGATTGATGGTTTAATTTTGCTTATAGCCACAGTGAAGAAATAAAGCCAGGTAAACTCTATCATTTATAAACTTAAGCATGACCTTCCCTTAGCATTTCTCACATGCTGCCATAGTCCATTGATCACTTAATAATCGTTTTCTGTGGCTCCCAGCAGGCCTAAGTTACTCTTACCTTGAGACGACATTTTGAAGATTATGTTGACTAGAATGAGTGATCGTGATCTTTCTTTCCTCTGACCTCCTTCAGCATACATATATGTATATATATATATATATATATATATATATATATATATATATATTTCCAGACTCATCTCCATTTGATGAATGCACACTTCTAAAGTATAGCCTTCAGGATGACACTTTGGCAGGAATAACTCAACATCATTCTGCTAAGTCAAACACTGGCTAATGTTAGAGAGAAGAGCAGCAACAGACAGTGTAGCTTGCAGCTTGGATTGCAAACTTGATGAGTCACTGATGGTATGGAAAACCCACAAAGATCTAATGAATACACAGTGTCATTTTAACATTGGGAATGATGTTTAATTATCCATGAGACTGCTTTTTCCTTTAAAAAGATCCTTCTAAGTCCTTGACTGCCCTTCCATTCTCCTAAACTTGGCAGACATTACCTAAGTAGTGATGAGCTTGTGGCAGGGCTGTGTCATGGTCCTGGGAGACCATTCTAAATAGAGCCCCAGGATGCAGTGGAGAACTTGGCCATATGCTCAGATCTCCTGGGAGAAAGATGAAGAGAGTGCCCGTGTCCTGAAACTGAGTTCAAGTCAAGGATTCAGCTCCAGTTGAAAGGAAAGGAACCTAAGATTAACTATATTTGGGGAGTCATGTAGTGTAGGGAGAATAGAGAATGGCTTATTTGGAATAAAAATGCCTTAAAAGTACACTAATACCCTGAAAACTGTGTTATTGTGTATTATTGGTGTTACCAAATATCTGCTGTAAAGAACTTAAAGCTATAAAAAGCTTGTGTTTATAGGCAAAGGGTTGTTGCTTAGGGTGTGAGATGAGTAAATGAATTATAGTAGAAAGATTTGTCAGAAGGAAGCTTCTCAAAGCCTCATGGTGGTCAGGAATCAAAGGCAAGAAAAAAAAGATTTAGGGATGTATCCTTCAAAGGCATGGCACCAGTCACCTGTCTCCTCAAACTTGTTCCGACCCCCAGTCACCATTCAGGTAACATAAGTGATTAAATACATAATGTTTTCAAAATTGTTGAAAGCTGTCAACTTCTCAGTAGCACTATCCGGGTGACCTTAAAACAAGAGTATTTTGAAGGACATTACACATTGTACCTATAACAAGTACCAAGACTAAATACGGACTTTATTTACCCCTGGGAATGGGGCCTTTTATATCACTTATTCTTTGTTCATCATTAACTCACATGAGCTGACTGAAAACTTTTGAGCATGAGTTCCCACCTGAGAAAATTAAAGCAAATTAATTTATTAATTTATTTATTAATTCTCCATCCAACACTTTACCTCTCCCCAGTGGTGCTAATGCATATATGTCCAACCTTCAGAAGGAAGCTGGCTTTCCAAGGAAAATATTACCAAATATATTAGGGTCCCTCATCCATATCTCCAAGTTCAGTCAAGTTCATTACAAAAAATAAGCATCATAATTCTCATCTATGAAACTAGAATAAAAATATCCCAGACCTTACAGGGTTAAGATAACTAACTGGAATATTACAGGAAAATTGATGTTGGCACTTCTAATATGTAATAAGTGCCTGTGAGTATTGCAAGATGAAGCTGGTATTGTGAATTTTGTGTTATAAAATTAACTTATGCAGAAAACTTACCAGGTCAGCTTCTAATAAATATTCTTTTCTACTGTTAAATGACTTCCTAAAAAGCAAAATGAAATGTACCTAGAATACGATCCCTACTAGACATCCATATCTGAAATAAAAATTAAATAAATCAAGACTAATCACATATTTCTATTTTATTAAGATATTTTCATCTTAAAAAGATAATTTATACCTTCTGACAGGGGGAAATCACCTTAGTCAGTCTTTGTCTTTTAATGTGTTCGATTTTAGTCATTAAATCAGGATACAAATAGGGCTTGAGAGATGGCTCAGCATCTGAGGACTCTTATTGCTCTTGCAAAGTATCCGGGTACATTTCCCAGTATTCATATCAAGTGGCTTAAACTCCAGTTCCAGGGCACCTTGATGTCTTCTAGATTCCTGGCACCAGTACACATGTGGAACACATAAACTCATCCAGACAGACACATCAGCAAACAAACACACACTAACTAATCAAAAGAGTTTTCAGTTACATTCAATTTCAATTGCTACAAGTACACTAATATTTTATTTCAGAAAAGAAGGATAACAGATTCCACCATCCCATAGAAAATAGACGTTTCAAATAATCACACTCTTTGTAAATGAGTGATAGGACGTCTTAGAAACATTAAGATTCTTAGAAGCAATGCTCCAGTCTTTATTGCCAGAATGTCTGATTATATTCACTCCTCTGACACACTGTGGCAGTTTCAGATCTGCTCCTATTAACCCCTATTAGCGCACAATAGGGACGTAGACTACCCATGGCATGCGCAATAGGGACGTAGACTACGCACATACCCATCGCATGCCTGTTGCCTTCTGTGATACTGCCAGTCCTGGAAGGAAGGCATCAACCACACACATTCCACACACTCACATCTAACGCAGTATGTCATCCACAGAGAGAACTTAGGAGATTCCTCCAGAACTGTACAATTTTGGAGCTATGAGTGTAATTTCAAAAAGTAATTTGCTAAGTCTATATTAAAAGACATGACACAAGTATTCAAGGACGTCTTTCCCCATGAGCTATATTTCTTTTGTGCCTTTGGGTTTTCAAATCCCGTTCCTTATCCCCTCACGTAAGTTGCCAGCACACAAATGCAGAAGGTCACTCCTGACTTGCATGTTCCCATGGCACCTTTCATCTCCTCATAGCATAGATGAGGTGTTAAAAATGCGTAAACAGGGGTCGTGCGAGAAGCAAAGCAGTCTGTGTCCTGTGTTATACTCCTTCTGTTCAGCTCTCACTAATGATGTACAGTGTCACAATTCAAATGGCTGCTGATTGAAATGATGGCTAACCCTACTAGTGGCTAGTATTGTTACCATGGAGAATCCAGGGAGTGTCTTGGGCTGGCCTCTCTGAAGCTGTGAAATACGAGGGTGGATTTCAACAGAGTTCCACTTGCTAATGCTTACCTACTGCGGTGCTTTTAGTCACATTCTTTGTGGATTTTCCCCCAAAAGTCATGCACTCCCATCTTGTTGGAAGATACCTAGTTTCACTTAGTGTTTCTTCCTCTCTCACTGGCTCCTGGGGGCTCTGGAAACTGTCATTTTTCAGCCAGGGTTGAACCTTTTCAGAGCAGAACTTTTGAAATTGTGGTGCCTTTTAAAACAATACATGATTCCATGCATCTGTCCACACATCCCACTTACTTATCCTCTTCCATATCTTTTGTTTTAACTCTTTCCACCTGGTAAAACTTGTGAACTACCAAGCTTACACGGGCCTGCTCTTGACGCTGTCCTGCACGTTGACAGAAGTGATTATATGTGTTTGCATTTACTGTGCTGATGTTTTATTCGATTTTACAAGATTCTAATTATCAGGACCGCATAAGAGGTCAAATGTTGCAGCCGAAAGTATCTTTAAGAATATATTTAAGTATCATCTTGGTGTTTGCTAGAGATCAGATTTGCCCTTGTACTTATCAGAAACATGCATGAATATACATGACCTATAGGCACATCATAAGTGCATGCGGTTATTCATGCACTAGCATTTCTTTTCTTTCAGACAAAAGCACACGCAAAAATTTGCACAAGTTTTAATGAATCTTTTACTTGAAGTCTATTTACCACCGTGAGTCACTGTTTGGTAGAGATTGCCGGTTATCAGATGAACGTATAGTTAACTTGGGTCAGTATTTATTAATAGTTGAGTGGCGTGTAAAGGCTGGGGAGATACTAATATAACAGAGTAGTTTGTCAAGAGTGAGATGAACTGCTATGAATTTTATACTTAAGAATATAGGAAATCTAATTTCTATAAATATATTTTCTGTGCTGACAGAGCTCTACCCTTTACGTTGAGAAACACATGACCATTTAGCCCTCTACTGTTTCTGCCTTTACAATGGCCTTTTGCATGGCTAGCCACTTGGAGCACAGAAGCACCATAAAAAGAACTTCAAAATCTATCAGAAGCATGTGAAAGCGACACATGAAATTATTCAAATAAATGACCTCCTTTCTCATCTATGTCTGTTTTATTTGCCACTTGAAAAAAGTTGTGAAGGAACCAGGTGGATATGATTTGGAAGCCTCTAACAAGTAGAGTATGGTTGCACTTTTTTGCCTTTATACAATGCTAAGTTCTACTTGAGACAGCCTGATGTATGACTGATCTCCTTTTAATATATTAAAATGTTATTTGTCAATATTCTTATAGTAATAGGTTAATATTCTTAGACATGGCGGTATCAGCACAAATGCCACCTAGAAATTGTCTGGTTATGATTTTAAAAATAAAAACTGCAGAAAAGAACTGACTTGGGTCCATTTCTACTTCTCCATCCCTGATCTCAGGTGAGGACAGAGTTAGAAGGCCAACAGCAGACACTCAGGATTTTTCAAACTCTGAAATGGTGAGAAGAAGTACATCTTTATTGTTTGTCAATTCAGCAAAGGATGTGTGTGGTCCTAGGAAGAATATGGCCTTATTCCATAGCACCCATCTCTAAAGCATCAGTCTCTTGTATCTCTGATGATACAGATAGATCAGCTTCCTGTATATGACTTCAACATGCACTTTTCTGTTGAGGAAGTTCTAGCTACCCATACATCACTGCGATTGTGGCAAATTGAAATGTGTGGTACTCTGGTCTTAGACTTATTTCTCTTGTCCTAGTGAAGCACTTTGTCTCTTAGTAAAAAGGAACTGGAGTTTCTGAATGAGTTTTCTGCACCTAACGTTATGCTGACCAGAGAGATGCCTACTCATTTGAGGGCCACTTATTACTAAGTGCACAAAACTATATTCTTTTAGGAAAATATATGCTCTGAATTTTAAGGATTCAATGGAGAGTAGATGGTTATGATTTAAAATAGTTTTGCCACTAGTTTTTTTGCTTGGCTGATATTTTGTTTTTGTTTTGTCAACCTGCATCCTTTATTTTGTTAAATGTATCAGTATTGGAAAAATGGAAGACTAGGAAAAAGTGAGCATTCCTTGAATAAAGAAAGTCTTCATGAGAATAGAGCAGGAAGATGTACAGCAGACATGGTTGTCTTCAGCTTTATGTGCTCCAGCCCCCAGAACCATCAGAAGTAAATAGCTCTGGAGACAAAATACACACACACACACACACAAACACACACACATACACACACACACACACCATTATCACAGTACTAAGGGGACCAAGACACTGTCACATTTCTAATTGAATTAATTAAAAAGCAAGGTTAAGACTCATTTGTGAAACTTAAAAACAACTAAACAATCTCTTTATGCCTTTAGTTGTTAATATATTTCTTAGTCTTCTAGTTAAGATCATTTTAGCTTTGATTTAGTGTATATCAAGGGAAATCAGTGTCTTCTGTGTAGTTGCTTATCTGTGTCTTCTGAGTAGTTGTTTCTTAAAACATGTTTTAGGTTAGTAGGCACATACTCAGTTGTAACTATTCCAAGAGTAACTCCATAAGGGTAGTATAAGATATTCCTCTGTTTTTTTTTTTTTCATATAAGAAAAACAGAAACTTGCAGGATTTAAATCCTGGCTTGTGTCAAAGCATAGTCTCAAACCTAGAACCAAAGCTCTTTTCCGCTAAGCTGATAAAGAGGCCTTTTGTAAAGTCTTCATTGAAGACTCTGATAACAAATGTGGAATAAGAAAAGGCTGAACTCTGAGCTTCTGGGCCTGGCATTATGGATCTCTTTGCCGGTGGCCCCATCCGTTCATCAGACATTCATATCAATCTTCCTATGAGACAACCCACCTTTTTTCATCCTGTCCACAAGAGCATTATAAGAGCTTCCTAATGCCTGGCAGAAATAAGGTTCCCCCTAGATATGGCACAGACATCTTATCTATCAGCTGGGAAAGTGGACTACAAGACTCGAGCTTTGTGCCTGCCTAACATTCAGCCTCATAAATATCTGTCAAATTAATGATTGACTTGACTTTGTTTCCTGCTCTTTCCATTGTATTCACTGCTGACCTGCAGCTGCTTAGATGCTGAGAGCAATTACTCTTTGAAGCCTTAACTATGCTAGCATACTGACAGGTGAAGACAAAACCAGAACTCTGTTCAGAGATTGGCTGGCTCCCTTGTATGAAACATTCGTGACTGTGGCCCTGTTTAATTAGCCTGCTGTTTGCTCCCGAGCAGAGATGTCTGACATCACATGTGCAATTAGCAGTGGTGCTAAGGTGCTGAGTGTCATGGTAGGTGGACTGAACACATGACTCCCAACCTCTCCAGAGGACAGGCTTGTCAGTCTGCTTCTAGGGGGGCCTGAGAGTGAGTGCCCGTTGACAGTTACACAGAGAGAAATGCTCTGATGAGAACCAGGTCCCCAGAGTAGGGCATGACGTTGAGGTCCCCAGGTCTGCAAATGGTTTACATTTGCTCCTTGATAATGTCATCAACAGGACCAGAAGAAAAAAAGTAAAAAAGGGCCGTTTACAACACAGTTCTGGCAATATCCTTTTTCATGAACTTTAATGTCTTGCAATTAAAAAAATTAGTCACAAAGTATGTTACATAAGCTATCTCCTTTTAATATTTTTAAACATCCTTAGTAGATATGACAGAATCAACATAAATATCACCTAGATATTGGCATGTTGTGATTTTAAAAATAAAAATAAATGCATTCCCAACAAGCCTATATATCAAAAGGGAAAACAATTAGCATCTGCTCCGAGAGACCATCTGGTACTTAAATCTCCTCAAACAATGATTCTCAGTAGTGCCAGTCCTCCTAAGACAAAGCTGTCCAGAAGCAGGAGACGGAACTGAGCAACCTTGAGAGAGTGGAGTCCCTCTGGGCTGCACTGCTCAGTCTGATCTCCTCTGTCAGAGTCCAATTTCAGTCTGATCTGCATCAGAGGGGCATAATTTATAAGAGAAATTGCAGGACAGAACTTCAGCTGCTTAAGGCTCTTTCCATGATGGCTCTAAAGCACCTTTGAATTCTTCATTTAGACCTGACCAACCAGCAGTTATTCAGATGCTCAGAAAGAGAGAGGGGGGTGGAGGAAGGGAGGGAGGGAGGAAAGGAGGAAAGGAGGGATGGAAAGAGAGAGGGAAGGAGAAGAGGGAAGAAGGGAGAGACAGAGAAAAGGAAAGCAAAGGAAGAAAAAGGAAAGAACAAAAGAGAAGAAAAGGAAAGGAAGAAGAGGGGAACAAAGCTGTCAAACTGTTTCCTCTGGCCTGCACAAAGAACAATAACAAGTACTTTTGGTAGAGGTTACTCTGTAATAGCTCATTCACAGTGTTTAGTGGCTTTCAAAGGACAGAGTTTGTTTTGTTAATTAGATTCTACAAATGTAGAAAACTGTGTGGTGTTTCCTCTGCAGTGAATCTTTTTGGAAGAGTAGGCTAATGTGGCATTTAAGACAAGATGCCATTTATAACTGAGACAATGGTGACCCTGTACCGTAATGCTACAACCTTTCCAGCTCTCCACAACTCCTATAATGATTACTATAAAGGAAGTTTTAACACCTTTTGTTCCTCGTGCAAGCTACAATGCTTGCTATTATACTACCTACAGGGCAGTTTTGTATTTAAAAATCTGGGATCAAGAGAGTGGCCAGAGCATAAAGCATTTAGCTTTGATATAAAAGCCCATAGGAAAGTAGTTTGCAACCTAGAAACTTCATTTTGGTTAAGCTTTCTGATACAATTGATTATAAAGTATAAAATCTCTACATAGCAAATAGTTGTCTGGGAGGAGCATAGTGAGAGAGAGTTCTAAAACATACTGCTCTTCTCTGCTTTTCTGAGAAAAATACTTAACACGCATTAATCTCATCAGCTAAAAATTACAGCACAGCTTGTGACGTCGTCATCTGAAGAGCTCTATGAAATGGGGTCTCTGCATATGGCCTCGGGCAGGATCAAGGTGCTAAAAATGGGGGACACAGTTGGTGATTAAATCCAAAGTGCTTTCTTACTGGCTAGGGCCATATAAAAATAGCAAGAGAAAAGATATGGGTAGGACGTCTGGAGAGTTTGTCTTTAATTTTAATATGAATATCCAAAGCAATTTTCTCCTCTTGAATTATTGGCGCCACTCTCTGCTTTGGAAGCAGCTATGGCATCATTTTTCCTACCCAAGGAAAATTTATAAATAGCCCTGATCAGTGCCAATGTGAGTTCTCTTTTTAGCTGGTGACTGAATTGTCTTTAGAGTGTATATTTTTAGTGTAAAAACTCAACATGATACTGCGATCCTGACTATGGGATATATTTGAAAATGTGTACATTCCAGATTGAAACCTATAAGAGAATGTTAGTGAGAAAAATCAAGTCCATGATAAAATATATTCACTCATCCATTCGAATACTCCATTAGCCTTGTTTATAGAAGACCTACTGTGTGTCAGTACTATTCTAGCCAAACATAATTCCCTGTCTCAATAATTAAGCAAAGTATTTAGACTACAAAGTCCACAGCACAGTCTGTGTCTTTTAAGAACTGTGGCTCTTTGCATCTGAAGTCAAGAGACATTATTGCTGCTACCTCCAACAGGACAGGACACAAGACTCATCACCATCAAAATTAATTGCTTTCATTCTTTTACTACAAATTATATCTAGTACCCTGGTCATTTTGGGAAGAGCCACCACAGGAGAGATATTCTGGAAAAAGTTGGAGTAGTGATGGCATAAATGCCTTTTCTACAAAACCTGGAGTGGTCTGTCCTGCTGCAGATAACTGTTACAGCTAACAAACCAAACATGTCACACATCTGGATCTAGGTTTCTGCCTATCCATCCTGTCTCAGCATAGCAGTTCAGGGGTCTAAGAGCAAGTGCTCAGAGATATAGGAAGTGAAAAGCATAGATCTCTTATGTCCTTCTGTATCAAAGAAAGGCAAAAATTAAGAAAAGAATGCTTTTAGAAGCCTTGTTATGGTGTGTGTCTACTTGGCTACATGACAACATACTAGTGGCATCTTCTAAAACCACATAATCCTGAATGTAATAGCAGTGATTGGCAGAGTGTATGAACCACTGCATATATATATATTCTGATTTAAAACACGCCCAGTAGATTTTGTCTTTCACCAATTCCCCTTGTGGGTCCCTGTTAATCACCCAGTGCGGCTTCCCTGTTGATTTCACAGTTGCTCTGAATTCCTTAGCAAGTATGACCTCATGATTCTAACAGGCTGACCACTTGTGCGCATTCTTTCTATCACATATTTCTAAAGATATCTCTGGTAATTCCCAACTCTCTTAAGTTATACAGGAATAGAGGAGTTTCTCTTATGGACCATGCAAATGTAAGTGTGAATGCACGTCTGTTGGAATAAACGTTTTACATACGCTAGTGTGGGTAGCAGAGGATCTCAAGGACTATTCCCTGGGGATCTTTTAAATGGGAGCTAGTTAGACACTAGTACAGGGG